TCCGCTTTTATTTTAGTTGTCAAGCATCCCCCTTTTGATCAAGGGGGCCGTGGAGATGCTGCACTAGTGGTAAGTATGACAAACAGTCCTAAGTCTCTTTTTTTTCAGTGCTATTGTAAATTCGGTCACCTCAGTGAATTGTTGTTAAGTTGAGGACTACCTGCCTTGTGAGCTGCTCTGAGACACTTTGGATAGGGAGAGGGGTGGCATATAAAGTGAATCAATCCATAAAGTAAAGTAAACTCTCAAGCTTCCTCCTTCCATTATATATTCAAACTGGACAGTATTTAATATTTATTTGCTACGCATACGGAGGGGTGTGGGTCTATACATATGTGGTTCATAGTATGTTTAGGTGTATGTCATGCATGTGTTTCACTTTGAGAGCGGGCAACTAAATTTCGTTTTTGATGTGTGCCGTTGTGCCCACAGTAAAAGAATGACAATAAAGGTTATCTTATCATCTTATCTTATCTTATCTTATCTTATCCTATCCATTCTGTCCTGTCCTGTCCTATTCTATCATCTTATCTTATCTTATCCTATCCATCCTGTCCTGTCCTGTCCTGTCCTATCCTATCCTATCCTATCCTATCCTATCCTATCCTATCCTATCCTATCCTATCCTATCTTATCTTATCCTATCCATCCTGTCCTGTCCTATCCTATCCTATCCTATCCTATCCTATCCTATCCTATCCTATCTTATCTTATCATATCATCTGAGAAAAGCTTTTTCACTTACCAACATGCCCAGCTGGACGGCTAACATGGCCACCCTGGCTTCCTGCTCCGGTTCTTGTTCAGCCTCCCGCAACGCCTTGGCTCCCTGTGCATGGCCCATGTTCCCCAGGCAGACTTTGGCAACGTCCAGCCTTTGGGTCTTCACGCACATGCGGGCCATGTTCTCCCAGACGGCTTCACTGCAGGATATAAGAAGAAGGGACGTGGTCCCGGTTAGATTATGAAGACCTTCAGGAAGACGGAGGTGTGAACTCGACCTTCTGCAGGAGAGAAGACCTTTTCAGGGACCATAGCTTAATGATGTGATGTGCAAACCAAGCATCTGGTCTTTAGCTCTTCATGCACAGGTGGGCCACGTTCTCCCAGACAGTTTCGCTAGAGAATGCAAGGAGGAGGCACAGGATCCAAGTCGAGCGATGGAAGACCGTCAAGAATATGGATGTGTGAACAGGAGACAAGACCTCTGTAGAAACCCTCTATAGCTCAGAGCAGGGCTCTCCAAACTTGGCAACTTTTAAGACGTGCGGACTGCAACTCTCAGAATTCCCCAGCCAGCCTGACTGGCTGAGGAATTCTGGGAGTTGAAGTCCACCAGTCTCGACGTTGCCCCGTTTGAAGACCCCTGGCTTAGAGCGTTGTCCCAGCCAAGACATAGGATCAGAGACATAATACTAACTCGATGGGTCAAAGTTAGCCAGGCTAGCTTGTTACACTGGCTTCAATTGAGTCTGTTCTACGTAAGACCAAGACTCAATCCAACTCCCGGACTTTTTGGGACCTTCAACAGACTGCTCTTTTCACTGCCCAGGCTCATCAAAGGCTGATTGTGTTCACGCCCATATTACGTTCAGTGCTTTGAGCGAGAGAAAAAAAAATGTAAAGCCATAAACTTTCCACCCCTTCCCCCCTTATATCAAACTCGGAGAATTTCCTGAGTTTATCTTTGGAACTCTACCTCACATCTGTCCTTCATCAACTCCAGCTTGCTGTTCTAATGAATACCATATGCAGTGGAGGAAGGGCGCACATCACCCTCTTTTGTTCTGAATTTAAGAAGAACTTGCTGATGTCCTTGTGGTATGAATTCTGCATCTTGAACTGCAAAACGGCTCCGTAAAATGCCGTACGTAAGCACCCCGTGCGTAAGGAGAGCTCCCCCAGTTTGGAACCCACCAAATTGGTGTTTCTTAAGCTTGGCAACTTGAAGATGGGTTAGACCTCAACTCCCAGAATTCCCCAGCCAGCTGGGAGTTGAAATGAATTCCGTTGTGACATCCCCTATCAAGCTCATTCAAGAGGAACATGCTTTGACCCCTCCCGGGAAGGTGATTGCCATTAGCACCAGGAGCCCAGGCTGTGCTCGCAACCAGACTGTGCTTCACAAGAAGACCTTTCCCCCCAGTGCCACTTCCAACTCCTCAGGTGAGTCAGTCATACAGAAAAACCTGTCCACCCTGTGCAGGGTCCATATAGACATGCCCCTCCCGTCTAAATCCTGTGCCTAGGACAGGGGTCGGCAACCGAGGCTCTTTTATGACTGGTGAACTTCAACTCCCAGAATTCCTGAGGCAGCCATGCTGAGGGGAAAGAGGTTTCCAAGCTGAGCCATGCTGGCTGAGGAATTCTGGGAGCTGAAGTCCACGAGTTATAAAAGGGCTAAGTTTGAAGACCTCTGGTTTAAATATGTAGATATTTTTCCCTCACGGTCACACGATCAAAATTCAGGCATTTGAACAGGGGTAGGCAACCTTGGTTTTTTTATGACTTGTGGACTTCAACTCCCAGAATTCCTGAGCCAGCCACGCTGAGGGGAAAGAGAGAGGTTTCCAAGCTGAGCCACGCTGGCTCAGGAATTCTGGGAGTTGAAGTCCACCAGTCATAAAAGAGCGAAGGTTGCCTACTCCTGGGCTAGACAGTGTTTCTCAACCTTGTCAACTTTAAAATGAGTGGACTTCAGCTCCCAGGATTCTTACACACAGCTTAGTCCATGCTCAGGTCCCTACTCGACCGTGGAATCCACCAGGTTACTTCGGATTGGTCCATATCTTTCAACCCAACCTGTGAGGATAAAGTCAGGGGATCCCAATGTGGGCCATACTGAGGATCTTATTACAACTGTAATCATCCATCAATAAACAATCTGAGTTAGGGGCTTGAGCACAGGTTGCCCTCCACTTACGACCCCAACGGAGCGCAAAATTTTCACCGCTAAGCACGGCGATGATGAAGCCAGCTTCGCCCCATTTAACAACTTTTCGGGTCACAATTGTTCAGCGAATCAGTGCAGTTAAGTTAGGAACAGGGCTGTTAAGTGGATCGGGCCTTCCCATTGATCAGAAGGTGGCAAAAGAGGATCACCTGGCCCCTCCCGCCCGGGGACCCTGCGACCGTCATAAATATGAGTCAGTGGCCAAGCACCTGAGTTTTGCGTGCGTGACCGTGGGGAGGCTGCAACGGCTGTGTGAAGAACAGTCGTAAGTCGCTTTTTTTAGTGCCGCTCTAACTGTGAACGGTCACCAAACGAATGGTTGTAAATGGAGGGCTGCCTGTACAGACGGGCTTTTGCAGGGGGACCCACACGGCAACTTATTTTCAGGGCTCAGGTTCCAACCTTAAAGAAGGATTTGTTTAACGTGCAGAGGGAACTCAAGTTTTCTGTAAAGCGAAGCAGGACAAACAACATCATCCCAAACCCACCTGTTTCCCTCCAGGGGAAGACAGGAACAAGAGAAGGAAAAGACTCATCCTGTCGGATCACTAGCAGGACGGAAGACGTACCGAAGACCTCTTTGGTGGACTTCAAGGTTTTCTGAGTTGTTAAAAAAAAAAAATTCTGGAGGCCTAAGCAGTATTCCCCTTCCGTTTCCAGAAATCGATAAAAGAAGAAGAGCGTCAGGATCACAAAACCTTCGTTGTCAAGTCCTGAATAGCAGCTAGAAATTGTATCCAGGGGAGCCCTTGCAAGACTCCTGCTTCTACCAATCATTCAGCCTTCTTCTATGAAATGCATTCATTTATAGCCCATCTTTATTATGTTTATAAATAACTCAAGGCTGCGAACATACAGCAACTTTCCTGCTCCTATTTTTCCCACAACAGTAACCCTGTGAGGTGGGTTGAGCTGAGAGAGTGGTGGAACTAGAACTCACCGTCTCCTGGTGATTGGCCCAAAGTCACCCAGCTGGCTTTCATGCCTAAGGCAGGACTAGAACTCACCGTCTCCTGGTGATTGGCCAAAGTCACCCAGCTGGCTTTCATGCCTAAGGCAGGAGTAGAACTCCATTTCCTAGAAATGCTAATTTTTTCTTGGAAGTATAACCCTATTGGATCCTTCCATCTCATCCAAGAAACAAATTTCTGCACTGTTGTCCAGAATACCCCAATTCTGATTATTTTTGTTGTGGTAAGCAAAAGAAGAAAAAAAAAAGCAAAATATTCTTCACACTGTTCTTAGTACTGAACTAAGAATAAGCCCAGCAAGAGACCCAGGTATTTTGCGTGCTTCAACCCTCCCAGTTTTCCAAGTTAGATTTGATGGGTTGCAAAAACCTTGAATCCCAAACCTAAGGGATTAACAACACAGCAAGATTTATTTTGGAGGATCTATTTTTTGATGATAAAACTTAGGGTGGGTTCTGAAACGTCTGCAAGAAGACCAGCAAGCTCAGAGAGCACCAAGGACCCCACAGTTCTCCTCCACCTCCTTCTCTCCTTCCTCCTCTTTGCAAACCCTACTACTCCCTTCTAGCACTGATGATGTTACCAAGTTTGGTAATGAAACGTCTGCAAGAAAACCATCCAGCTCAGAGAGCACCAAGGACCCCACAGTTCTCCTCCTCCTCCTCCTCCTCCTCCTGTTTCTCTCCTTCCTCCTCTCTGCAAACCCCATTCCCTTCTAGCAGTGATGACGTTACCTACTTTGGTAATGAAACGTCTGCGAGAAAAAACAACCAAGGACACACACACACACACACACACACACACACACACACACAGAGGATTTATTTCCTTCCATGAGATCCTTGAGAGGTTTTGTTGTTTTTTTAACCACCACACAATATTATCCTAACAATTCTTCCTGGCAGAGTATTGCCGAATGAACCCCTCTCTCTGGGAAGCCCAGGAGGGGAAGAGCAGGACAGCCATGGAATGAGGCGGGAGGGAGGGAGGGTGGCTGGGAGTGGGGAGAGAAAGAGACGGGACTTTAGAAGTCTGTCTTTGACTTTTCCTTTCAGGAAACACATCCTGTTCACATCGGAGAGGGCCGTGGCAGTGGCCCTGTCGGTTGGTTGCAATCGGCTACGCCCTGCGGTTTCACCAAAACCAGCCGCGCAAACAACCGTTTCCTTTTCATGGACAGATAGGAGAGGAGGGGGGGGGGAGAGAGAAAAAACTTCCTTGCAGCAAGGATTCTGTTTTCCTGCTCCGGCAGTGTGCGGGCTCCGTCATCGGGGAGGGAAGAGCAAGCAGCGGTGGAGAAGAATCCCTGGGAATACACACTCTGCAGCTTGGCAGGACTCTTCCTTGGGGATGCAAGCCTTTCATCTCTCTTTCTTGGGGATTGGCTTTGGCACAAAGCGCTGAAGCCGAGGACCCTCCTGGAGTCGTTCTGAGAAATTCGGGTGACGGCAAAAGCGTTTCTGGGGTCTTGACACCTCTCATGCAGGGCCCAGCTCCTTCCCACATCTGCGCGCCAGAAGGCTGAAGGGACGGACAGCCTTCAAGAGGCATTTTGGGCCTCGGCTGTCCGAGAACACCACTCCATCCCCGTAGCCATTGCCTACGGTCGTCGGACCCTTTGCAAATTGGGTGTCGGAAAGAATGCGCCTCCTCAACTTCCAACTCTCCACCAGCTTGGTCCTACTCAAAGGGGAGGAAGGTGGATAAAGCAAGCCCTGAGGACGAACGAGCAATCTGGAAGCCTCGCTCTTGCCTTCTTTTGCACATGGATTTCTCCTCTCTGCCTCGTGGGTCTTTGTGCGGCCAGAAACTTCCCAGCAGCTGACTTTGAGAATGAATGGCGATGTACTCTAGCCATTCCTAACGCGCTCCTGCACCTGCCCTTCCACCGACAGACCCAATTCAATGTCCTGCAGCTGATTTGGGGACGCTTGGATCTTCTCCCAAGAGTGGCTGCCGGCGTTGGGTGACCGTCAGATATGACAGTCCAGAAACTGATAGCCACAGCCGTGTTGGTAGCGCTGGTGTCCCTGATTCTCAACAATGCGGCTGCCTTTAGTCCCAACTGGGTGTACCAGACCTTGGAGGATGGGCGTAAACGCAGCGTGGGGCTGTGGAAGATGTGCTGGCTGGCAGAGAAGGGCAAAGGAGGTGTGGGCGCAGGTGCCAAGCATGGGCAAGGGGTGGAGCATGAATGCGAAGCCCTGGGCTGGGGTTCAGAGCCCGCTGGCTTTCAGGAGTCCCGAAATACTGTCAAACGTAAGTCTCGTTTCGCATTTGTCATTCTCGACTCGGTCTTACAAGTGGTCCGTGAGGCACGTCCCATAGGTGCTTTTCTCAAAGGCGACTGGATTTTCTTGAGTGGTTTTTTTTTTCTTTCTTGAAAACATTTTGCTTCTGAAGAACTGAAGAAGCAGCTTGTCGGATGAGAAGTGAAACGTTTTCAAGGCACAAAAACAAAACAAAAACCCAACAACCCAAGACAGTCCAGTTGCTTTTGGGAAATGCACCTTTGGGACAATCATGACTGAGCATCTCCAAAGACGCTGGGTCTGCTATGCAGCACACTTTGCTAAAAACTTTGCACCTGAAAAACTAAAAGGCGGACTGTGAAATATTTGCTCCATCGGGGCTCGGTCTGGAAAGGGCTGAGGGCCATAGGCTTTTCTCTCTCTTCAGAAGAAGCTTCAGTGAAGCAAGAAAGATACTCGGGGAGCTAATGAAGAGAGGTCGGGTCCAGAAAAATAACACAGTTGGGCTACAAGAGATGGAGAAAGACACAGAAGATACAGGAGGCAGAGTGAATGCGGTATTCAAAGCTAGATAAAATGAACCAGTTTGCAAGCATCTATTTTGATTTAAAGCCATCAGCAAAAGCTTTAACAGAGGATTTGCTGTAGTAGCTGATCCCTGCACTGATCCAAGGATTGGATTAGACACTGTTTCTCAACCTTGTCAACTTTAAGATACTACTGGGACTCTGGCTCCCAGAATTCCCCAAGCATGCTGGCTTGGGAATTCTGGGAGCTGAAGTCCACACCCCTTAAAGTCGACAAGGTTGAGAAGCACTGGACTAAATGATCCTTAATCCTTCATCGCGGTGAGGTTGGCTGTTTCATTTTAGGCTTGCAATCCAAATATGGCACTGTTAAGACGGGAACCGTGGGGTTCACACCCCCAGTCCAACCTCTTGGTTAAAAAAACAAACCAAACGTGATGGAAGATTTCTCCTGGCAAAATCTTCCTGGTGGGAGAGGATAAAAGGGGTCATTTTTGCGGGGGGGGGGGGAATGACAGAGAACAACCAGTTATGAAACTCTTCCCTCTTGATCTCTTTCCTTTTGTAAATCTGCTGCAGGCTACAGCCTTCTCGACTGTACCTTATTTATTTATTTATTTTTTAAAAAGGAAAAACTGGAGAACAACTACACTCAGCTCCATGACACGGGAAGTTTGACCTTTTGTTGTGCTATTTCCAGTTCACTAGGTGGCAATACTTGGCAAGGGGTGGGAAGGGGTGAGGAAAATGTCTAGGGAAGCCTATTCAAAGAGCAATATAGGAAGTTTCTTTCCAGCAAGTCGAATTCTTTGCTCCATTTCAGCCAGTAATGCCTGCTCCTCGCTGACTATCCTTCCCCAAAAATTTAGGACATCCTTTCACAGCTTGACTCCCTCTTCCTTGTGTCCCCCCTCGTCCTTCTCTTCATTAAATTAGACGTACCCAATTCCCACAACCGTTCATTATATGTTTTAGCCTCCAGTCCCCTGATCCTCTTTGCTGCTCTTCTCTGGACTCTTTCCAGTGCAACTACAGGAGACAAGCTATTCCATTGTTCTGTCAGGAAGTTTCTCCTTAGTTCTAGCTTGCTTCTCTCCTTGATGAATTTCCATCTGTTGCTTCTTGTCCTGCCTTCAGGCACTTTGGAGAATAGCTTGACTCCCTCTTCTTTGGGGCAGCCCCTGAGATATTGAAAGACTGCTATCATGTCCCCCCTCGTCCTTCTCTTCATTAAACTAGACATTCCCAATTCCAGCAACCGTTCCTTATATGTTTTAGCCTCCAGTCCCCTGATCATCTTTGTGGCTCTTCTCTGCACTCTTTCTAGAGTCTCAGCCTCTTTTTTACATCGTGGCGACCAAAACTGGATGCAGTATTCCAAGGGTGGCCTTACCAAGGCCTTGTAAAGTGGTATTAACCCTTCACGTGATCTTGATTCTATCCCTCTTGATTCTATCCCCTCCTTGTCATCTGCTACCTGGGAGCTACCTGGGAATTTCCCACCCCACCTCATCCCACCTGTTTCCCAAACAGACCTTACTAAATCTAGGAAGTGGATCCCTCCAAGTTTCCTTCCAGAATATAACGGTCAAATATGTTTCAGAGATAGAATTCTCTGCTATGTGGTTTTGCTTTTTTTTTAGACAGCTCTGATTCCGCTCTTGACCACACAGCTCTTTCATCCGAACACAATCTCGGACTGGTGCTCATTGGGGTCAGAATTCATCCCAGAATATAAAATAATCGTACAAATGTGATATTGTTTGATATTTGAGGAGGGGAATGATTTGAGTCGCCCAAAGTAGCAGTGAAAAAAACGAGGCCGCCTCTGTGCCTAGAGATTTTGGCTAGTTCTCCAGAGCAAGAAAATGCAGAAAAGAGAAGAAAAGTATGTTTACGGAATTGTGTAGACATTTGCCACTGCATATTCTGAAAACATGTCTATCGATAAGAGTTCACATACTCTCTCTCAAGAAAAGCAGGATGCGGTGATCAGAAGAAGCTCTGCAATCTTCACGTGTTGCTTTTTTTGGTAGGATATCAATTTCTCAATCACTGGAAATCTGGCCCTCAGACCCATTTTTGCTTTTAATTAGGTGTTTCCTAAATACATTAAAGCCACGAGACACTAATATTCAGCAAAGACCGAGATCCTTTCTAAAATGCAAAAAAACTGCCAAAAATTAACCGCAGGGGGATTAAAAAAAAAGTATAGTCTTGTGAGTTCTCACATTCCACTTTAATGCTGCTAATCTTGTCCTTACCAAATAGTTTCTTGATTGACCCAGTGAAGTATGAAAGTAGCTCAGAAGAAAGGATATGTTATGGAAACCCACTGGTTGCAAAACAGCAAGAGACCTGCTTTAGAGCTAGTCAGGATGAAGCTGAGGGCATCTAGATGTCTTGGCAACTGACATGTATTTATGACAGTTGCAGTGTCCTGGGGTCATGTGACAGGTCCCCTTTTTGCAACCTGCTGGCAAGCGAAGTCAACGGGGAAGCCAGATTCATGAATAACTGTGGCAAGAAAAGTCTTAAAACGAGGCAAAATTCACCCAAGAACTGTCTTGCTTAGCAACAGAAATACGAGAGAGAGAGAGGAGAGAGAGAGAGAAGAGAGAAAAAGAGGAGAGAGAGAGAGGGAGGAGAGAGAGAAAGAGAGAGAAAGAAAGAGAGAAGAGAAAGAGAAAAAGAGAAGAGAGAGAAAGAATAGAGAGAAAGAAGAGAGAGAGAGAGGAGAGAGAAGAGAGAGAAAGAAGAGAGAGAGAAGAGAGAAAGAGAGAGAGAGAAGAGAGGAAAGAGAGAGAAAAGAGAGAGGAGAGAGAAAAGAGAGGAGAAAGAAAGAGGAGAGAAAGATGAGAGAGAGAGAGAGAGAAAAGAAAGAAGAGAGAGAGGTAAAAGAGAGAGAGATCACTATTTTTGTAGTTTTTGGTTAGTTCTCGTGGCTGGAAAAATTCTTCTATCCTGATTATGGCCCCATTAGAATGACTGGCGCACGGCCAGCCTCTCAACTCAAGAATCCAACAATTCTACTCAAGAATTGCCAATATTGTTGGAGAAGCATGTGTGCCTTTACTGAATGATTTTTTTTTATAAACAGAAGGATTAGCTACAACCCAGAGAAATTAGCCAGAGAAAGCTGTTTTCTATCACAGCAATTAAAGAGAATGTGAAGATGATTAGAGTGAAGAATAGTTGGCTTTTGGTCTGCGGTTGATCGTGGAAAAGAAGAGGAAAATGGACGCCGCTGGAACATTTTAAGAGTCAATTTCATCCATTATTCTGCATCCCATAATGTCCTACCAGGCTCCACAGAAACCAGGGGGAAATGACAGCTTTTTCTCAGTTACTGCTTTGCAAGAACCACTATTTGGTAGCTTATTACTGCGTCTGGACAGGAAAGCTCTAACTTCACAAAATCGACTCTTCTCCTTCTCAAGCCTTCTGAGCTAGAAGACACATCATATTTTGAGATAGTGAATTTCAAACACAATGTGCATCCATCTCGGATCTGCAGTCCAGGCACTGGAATTGGAACTTCTCCAGAGCATTCAGTTAGGTAATGGTGAGGGAAATGCCTCTTTTTCTCCTACGTTTGGCCAGTTATTTCATAAACTTTGATGAGATCTTGCTCGTTTTTCTAAGATGGGGGTATGTGTGTGTCTCCAAACCTGGCAACTTTAAGACTTGTTGACTTCAACTCCCAGAATTCCTTGGCCAGCCATGCCAAGTTGAAATCCACAAGTCTTAAAGCGGCCAAGTTTGGAGAGCCCTGTTCTAAGAGAGAGAACTTTCAACGCCTCATCTTTTCCTTATTTTTGACGGTTTCTATAAGTTAATAAAAGTTCATGTTTTTGTGCCACGATCGGTCTGGAGCAGTGTGACTACGGCAACTAAGCCAGGCTTACTGCTTCTCAAAACCAGAGCTGTCTGTTGCATGGACAATCTCGTGCAGAAGCTATCCAGGCAGTTTACAAATCCCATTAGTCTCATTTAGCAACAAAAATTTGGGGCTCAGCTGTAGCTGTAAGTCAAGGACGACCTGTAAATTGGACAAACAATGAACGGAAGAGAGTTGGAAGAGAGCTTGGAGGTCTTCTAGTCCAATCCCCTGCTCAGGCAGAGACCCTATACTATCCCAGACAAATGGCTGTCTAGTCTCTTCTTAAAAACCTCTAGTGATGAAGCACCCACAATGCCTGAAGCCAAACCATTCCACTGATGAATTGTTCTAACTATCAGAAAGTTCCTCCTTAATTCCAGGTTGCTTCTCTTCTTGATTTAATTTCCATCCCTTGCTTCTTGCCTTCAGGTGCCTTGGAGAAGAGGTTGACCCCCCCCCTCTTCTTTGTGACAGCCCCTTAGATATTGGAAGACTGCTATCACGTCACCCCGAGCCCTTCTTTTTATTAAACTAGACAGACCCAATTCTTGTAACCGTTCTTCCTATCCCAAAGGTGCTTTTTCACAAGGCAACTGG